GACCCCTAGTGCTTTATCAGGAAATTGAATGCATCCAGGGACACCTAACCATTCTTCTTCTTCTTCTTGTGCCATATCCGTTATCGGACGTTGGCGATCCTGTTTTTATCAGCAGCCGCACGAAAAAGTGCTGCTGAGTTTTGTCCAAACCAGTCCCTTAGATTTTGAAGCCACGATGTTCTTCTTCTGCCTGGACCTCATTTGCCTTCAATCTTTCCCTGGAGGATGAAATGGAGTATGCCGTGTTTTTCTGGGTGTCGCATCACATGTCTGAAATATTCTAATTTTTGTTTTTTAATTGTTTTGATGATTTCCCTTGGCTTTCCCAGGCGGCTTATCCCCTCCTCATTTCTGATCTTGTCAACCCAGCTTATACGTAACAGCCGCCTGTAAATCCACATTTCAAATGCTTCTAGTCTCTTCAGGTGGCCTTCTGTCAGAGACCAATTCTCTACTCCATAGAGCAGGATAGAAAAAAATACAGCATCTGACAAGCCTGATTTTCAGTCTTAGGCTTAGGTCGTGACTGCAGAAGACCTTTTTCATTTTTGAAGAATGCTGTTCGAGCTTTTTCTAGCCTAGTCTTTACTTCAGTGGTCATGTCCCAGCTTCCATGTAAATATGAAACCCACAGCCAAACTTTTTAAATTCATGTATTTATCCAAACCATGCTTCCTCTAAGTTGGAATACATGATAGCGAAGGGAACTTCTTAATCTCTCTTTGCCATATACTTCTCCTGTTAATTCAACCAACGGTTTACAGTAGATATAAGTCAGTGCAAGTTTTACCCTTTATATTATCCAGTGGAGATGTGATGATTTAATCTGAGCATTTTGCAAATATTTTACACATTCATGATAATATTGACAAATCAAGTTCAATGTGAATGGAGTATCTCTGGGATATGATCTTGGCTCTAGGGAAGTCTGAGCAGATGTATGACCCCACCACAATATGCTAAGTTGAGCTTACTCTGGATGTAGTATGTTGTGTGAGGTCTGCTATTGTGGTTGGTAGATGATGTGTATGTTGTGTGAACTGAATCCGTAGCTGGCTTATTCAGTAAAGCACTGCTAAAGGAACCATGGCTTAGCATGTTTGGTGAGGCTTGGAACGAAATGGGTCCCAAGTGTGTAGCATGCGACAGCCAGCATGTTTAATCCAGTGAAATACTATACTGCTGATTTTATCTCATTACAGATCAAAGGCTTGCCTGAGGGGTTTAAATTTCCTAAAATTGGTTCCAATTATTCCATTCACACAGTGGAAAAAACATGGAAAGCTCTGCAGGATTTTCAGGAAGGAAATGCCATTTTCACTTTTCCAAATACTCCAGTGAAATGCGCAGGGGCGCCACAAAAGATCATGTACCTGACAGAAGCGTACCTGAGAAAGGTATGTACCAGCCACTGCCACCTAATGTTGTTGCCTAAACAGGTAACAAAAACATAATCCCAAAGACCAAGGCTATTGAAAATACACTTTTTCTAGTTTAAACTGCTAGAATATAAGCGTAAAGTATGGATAGTTTTAGAATGCTCCTCCAACTGGAAAAAAATATAAGCAGTTTTGATTAGCAATTAGGACCCAACTAGTTAAATCAGCATAAATTTGCACATAGGACTAAAACTATAGTATTCATTAAGCATATCTAATGTATTGATGCAGACGTCAAATTGAGACATTCGGATTCAGTTTAGTTTTGTATGTATCATGAATCCCATCACTGCAAATGTAAACTGTGTTTTATTAGGTGCCGTTCACCCGACAGGTTGGGTGAATCATTTACTGTGATTTCTTCAAAAACCGTTAGCTTAAATCATTTTGGGCAGACTATATAAACCCAGTTATGGATGATAAGAAATAAGGACTCTGCAGGGGGCTGGTCTAGGAGATTATTTGACTGATCAAATATAAAAGTACTGATAAGAACAAGAATTGTGAATTCAGGGATTTTCAAGAAGGCCTCACTTTTTCTTCTCATTTTTCCCTAGACTGGAAAACGGTCCAAAGCCAAGATCATATTCAACACTTCCCTCGGAGTGATATTTGGTGTTAAGAAGTATGCTGATGCTCTACTGGAGATTATCAAAGAAAGAGATATCGCCGTGAACTACAGATGGAACCTTGTGGAAGTCAGAGCAGATAAGCAGGAAGCCGTCTTTGAAAACCTGGACAAAGCTGGGGAAACGCAAGTTTATCAGGTGAGCAAATGGAATTTTTCAGGGCTTTCTAGGTGAATTTCTTGTTTATGGTTGCTTGTCTCTTTAGAAGTGGCAGGGGGGAAAAACGGGTGGATGGAGAATAGAATGAGACTTTTTGAAACATACCCACGCAGCACTATCCGTCCTTATGATATGAAAGTCAGAGGCAGCAAGATTACAGGTAGTTCTTGGTGGATAATTTTAATTCAATGCAGCCATTAGATCAGGGGTCCCCAACCCCCAGTCCGTGGACCGGCACCGGGCCGTGGCATGTCAGAAACCAGTCCACACAAGCAAAGCCCTATCCGTGGGATGCAGACAGTACATGAAACCATGCCCCCTCCGGTCCGTGGAAAAACCCCTCTCCACAAAACCGGTTCCTGGTGCCCAAAAGACTGGGGACCTCTGCATTAGATGAAACATCACACGACTTCACCACTTAGCAATAGCAGTTTCAGCTGTTAGTTCAAGGGCATCACTCTTCTCCTGTCCTGCCCCGCTCGCCTCTTTTAACGTCCCCACACCGTCTTCCCCTCATTTTTGCTCTCTTCTCTAAGTTGCTACTTTGCTGTACCCAACTGACCTTCGCCATCTTTTTCCTTCCATTGCTGACCACTCCTGACCCTGTTCACGGCAGTTACTGGCTGCTTATGGCCTTCTCTAGGAGACGTGGTGACGCAGTGGTTAGAATGCAGTATTGCAGGCTAATTCACTGTTCACTGCCAGGAGTTCGATCCTGACCGGCTCAAGGTCGACTCATCCTTCCATCCTTCCGAGGTCAATAAAATGAGGACCCAGATTGTTGGGGGCAAGAGGCCGAGTCTGTAAACCGCTTAGAGAGGGCTGTAAAGCACTGTGAAGCGGTACAGAAGTCTAAGTGCTATTGCTATTGTTTCTGCGGCTAGGGTGCCAAGTGCCCTAATTGATCACCAAAAGACCTGAACAAGTGGCTGTTAAGCAACGATTACCCGTAAGCTGTTATAGAAGAAAGGGCCAAACCTGGAAGTTCTCCAGTTTAGTTTTCTCAGTTTCTTATAGTCAAGGAACCCTCATCTCAGTTGGGGAATTTGGCGACGTCCAACCTGAGATTGCAAATCAGTCTCATTGGTGAGGAGTCCTGGGGGCTCTCTGAGCTTGGTGACTTTCCTGCAGATGTTTCATGACCAAATTAGGTAAGAACTTCAGGCACTGTTGACGTTACCTAGTTGGGTCATGAAACGTCTGCAAGAAAACCACTGTGCTTGGAGAGCACCAAAGACCCCCTCAGTTCAACCCTGGGCTACAAATATTCTCTTCTATTGGAATCTCTTTTTTTTTATTACTCTGCTCCAGTATGAAATGCTTCACGTCACTCCTCCCATGGGTCCCCCTGATGTACTGCTAAACAGTCCAGTTTCAGACGTCGCTGGCTGGGTGGATGTAAACAAGGAGACACTGCAACATGTGAAGTACCCCAATGTTTTTGGGATTGGAGACTGCACCAACCTCCCTACCTCCAAGACTGCTGCAGCGATAGGTGAGGTTAATTTTTAGGCGCTGTATTTTGCATTTCGGTCTCCTTGATGCAAGGCCAAAAGCCAGTTTTAAATGTTGAATCGAATCTTGTTGTGTCCGAGAGTATTTGACCAATTCGATCAGCAGAGAGCTATCCAATAGGATTCAATATAAGACAGTTTTCTATGGAATAGGGGAGTAAAGAGAGGGCCTCAAAGCCTATGACAGGTCACTAAAGTCACCAATTCATATAAATGGCTATGTTATTATGCTTATGCACAATTGGGCTGCTACTGGGACCATTCCCGGCATGATCCTAAAAATCTACCTGCCACCAAGTTTAAGAGTTAAACTACCTTTAAAAAGTTGTAACTCTAACTCTCCTTTCAGCAGAAATATGGGTCAAAATAAAACATTTGATCTCTTCCACAGCTGGCCAGTGTGGTGTACTTGATAAAACAATTTCATGTATCATGAAGGGCAAAACTCCCACTAAGAAGGTAAACTATTCCTGAAAAGGAACTATGTATTTGCTTCTCATTGGAACAATGGGCTTTTTTATTATTTGGGGAAATATTCGTATTTGCAATGCAACGTGATCATTTTTTAAACTCCTTTAGAACGCTCCTTCGACTGAGGTTTTATATACATCTCCAAACAATACTGTAAAAGCTGGTAGCGAAATAATGGCTTCTAATTTTGGCAACTGGATTTACCCAATGACAGTGAATTATGAGATTAAAGTGAAAAAGAATTTCTTCGCACAGTACATTAAACTCCGCAATCAGTTAAATTTAACAAGGGCTACCAGTTTGAAGGACTTTAAAAGGGGATTAAGACAAATTCAGGGAGCATGAAGTTCTTACAGCATAATATGCAAGACACCGTGTTTTTCCTGTCCTAAAAGGCATATATATTTTTGATGTTTTGTAGTATGATGGATATACTTCCTGTCCTCTGATTACCAACTACAACCGAGCGATCCT